GCAATTATCTTCTCCCATTTAGTAGATTGCCTTTTAATTTTGTGTGTCCTTCAGTGTTCAGAAGCTTTTTATTTTGATGTAGTCCCAATTTATTTCTGCTTCTTTCCTTTGCCTCAAGAGACATACGTAGAAAAATGTTATACAGCTGATGTCAGAGAGATTACTGCCTGTGGTCACTGATTTGGACTTTTATTTTATTTTTTTTAAAGATTTTTATTTATTCATTCATTCATTCATAGAGACACAGAGAGAGGCAGAGACACAGGCAGAGGGAGAAGCAGGCACCATGCAGAGAGCCCGACGCGGGACTCGATCCAAGGTCTCCAGGATCATGCCCTGGGCCACAGGCGATGCTAAACCACTGCGCCACTGGGGCTGCCCTGATTTGGAGTTTTAATTACAAAATCCCTTCATGACAGTACCTGGTTGATCGAATAAACCAGGGACTGAGAATCTTGGGCACGTCTAAGATATCTGCCTACCATACTCTTGAGTCTACAACTACACTTAACATTAAACAACTTTCTAATCTTTGTCATTCTGGTATATATAGTGAATTCTTTTTAAAATATTTTTTTTTAATTTTTATTTATTTATGATAGGCACACAGTGAGAGAGAGAGAGGCAGAGACACAGGCAGAGGGAGAAGCAGGCTCCATGCACCGGGAGCCCGACGTGGGATTCGATCCCGGGTCTCCAGGATCGCGCCCTGGGCCAAAGGCAGGCGCCAAACCGCTGCGCCACCCAGGGATCCCGTGAATTCTTTTTAAAATGCCTTATTTTCATTTGTATTTCTTTAATTTGTAGGAAATTTGAGTGTTTCCTCCTACATCTTCGCCATTTGAATTTTTCTTTTTGTAAATTTCTTTTCATGTCCCTTGCCCATTTGGGGAACAGCTTATTTTCTTTCTTGTTTTCTTGTCAGTAGGTCCTTGTTTGTCCTGTCCATTAATCACTTGTCAATCTTAGATGCTGAAAATATTTTTTTTAAGGTTTTGTTTTTAATAATCTCTACACTCAACATGGGGCTCAAACTCTCCATCCTGAGATCAGGAGTCACATTATCTACTGACTGAGCCAGCCAGGCACCCTGAAAATATTTTCTTCTTAATAAGTCATTCTTTTGACTTTGCCTATACCTTCCTTTATTATACAGAAATCTTTAATTTTAATGTTAAATTTGTCCATTTTTCAGTTTATCATTTACACTTTGGGGATCTTGTTAAAGAGAAATCCTACCCACAAAATTAGATGCATAATTTTATTCTTTCTTCATTGCTACAAAGTATTTAAGATTACAAATCTTAAATTTGCAATCCTATGTAGGTTTTGACCCTGTCAAATCCAATAGCTACTTATATATGCTCTTTTAAAAATTGAGGCGAAATTTATATAGCATAAAATTAACCATTTTAAAGAGTACAGTTTGTGGCATTTAGTGCCTTTATCATGTTATACAACTAACTACCTATATCAAGTTCTAAAACATTTTCATTGTCCCAAAACAAACCCCATGCCCCATTCCCATTTCTCCTTCCCCCTCCAGACCCATGGCTCTCACCATCAGTGTCTGTGGATTTACTTCATTTAGACATTTCATATAAATGGGATCATATAATATGTGGCCTTTTATGTCTTACTTTCACTTAGCATAATGTGTTCAAGGTTTAGCCATATTTTAATGTATATAGAAGTACATCTTATGGCTGAATATCATTCCATTGTTTATATTATATTACATTTTTTTTATCTGTTAATGGACATTTGAATTGTTTCTGCCTTTGGCTACTGTGAACAGTGCTTTTATGAACATGAAGGTACATATATGTATTTGAGTGCCTGGTTTTAATTCTTTCAGATATATACCTAGGAGCAGAATTGGTAGGTTGCATAGTAATTCTTTGTTTATCTTTGTAAAAGACCATCAAACTGTTTTCCTAAGCAACTGCACCATTTAATGTTTCTAGTTTCATTCTATTACAGGTAAAGAAAAGAACTTTTATGATTTCAGTCTTTTTTAACGTTGAATTTGTCTTATGTCGTAACATATGGTCTATCCTGATTAATATTTCATGTGTGCTTGAGACAGTGTGCCGTCTGTTGTTGGTGGTGGAGTCTATCATTTTTAAGTTTCCTCTCTCGATTCAGCATTTGTTTGGTTGCTATAAACCTTTGACTGTTTACCAGAGTTCCCACAGTTGATTTTGATGGTTTTTACAAATTCTTTTCAGTTTTTCTGTGGAGAAACAGTGCTTCAGAGCTACCTATCCCTCCATGTTTGCTGACACTACCCTCAACAATTACCTTTTTTTTTTTTTAAGATTTTATTTATTTATACATGAGAGACACACAGAGAGAGAGGCAGAGACGCAGGCAGAGGGAGAAGCAGGCTCCATGCCGGGAGCCTGAAGCGGACTCGATCCTGGGTCTCCAGGATCACACCCCAGGCTGCAGGTGGCGCTAAACTGTTGCGCCACCGGAGCTGCCCCAACAATTACTTTTTTTTTTTAATTTTTATTTATTTATGATAGTCACACACAGACAGAGAGAGAGAGAGAGACATAGGCAGAGGGAGAAGCAGGCTCCATGCACCGGGAGCCCGACGTGGGATTCGATCCCGGGTCTCCAGGATTGCGCCCTGGGCCAAAGGCAGGCGCTAAACCTCTGCGCCACCCAGGGATCCCAACAATTACTTTTTTAAATATTTCATAATGTTCCTTTAATAATTCTGAAATAAAATGTATAGATAATATAACTTAATTCATACAGAAGTTTTAAAAAATCAATGTGATGCATAAGTTGTAATAAAAAGGAGAAATAAAAGGAAGTAATTTTTTAAAATGTAATACGAATTTCAGTATGTAAATATGTATAACACTGGAAGGCATGATTGAGTAGTGATATGTTTATACGTATTTAAGTAAGTTGGATTTAAGAGATGTAAGAGGATTAGATTCCATTTTGTCCAAATGCTAATAAATGAAAGAGTAAAGTATAGTCTTAAAAACTAGACTTTTTGGGTAGCCCGGGTGGCTCAGCGGTCTAGCGCCACCTTCAGCCCAGGGCATGATCCTGGGGACCGAGGATCAGGTCCCATGTCTCCCTGCATGGAGCCTGCTTCTCCCTCTGCCTGTGTCTCTGCCTCTCTCTCTCTCTCTCTCTCTCTGTGTGTGTGTGTGTGTCTCATGAACAAATAAATAAAATCTTAAAAAAAAAACTAGACTTTTTATATGCACATGAAATGAGAGAAATCACTGTATAGAAGTCAAGATGTAACACCAATACAAATTATAGATTAAAGAGGTAAAGGAAAGGAGAAAATATAATATTCTAATAAATGTGTTGGGCCTTACTTGAACCCTAATTATTTAGTAAATAGGAATTGTAGAGAACATATTTTTTTATTTTGGAAATCGTAACATATATCAGGGCAAATATTTTTAGTCTTGAGTACTTAAGTCCTTGGAAACAGAATCCTTTCAGTGAATATGGGATTCAAAGATGGCTTTTAAAAAGCAGTGATAGAACGTGTAAGACCAGTATCAAAGTAAGTTTGAAAAATAACAGGCAGTTACAAAATAAATGAGTGATTTCAACTGGTAAGTTTTACACTAGATTTCTTACTCATATATGTCTGTATATGATATGCAATATTTTTAGAACCAGTGGAATTAAATAAAATGCCTTCATTTCATGTGTTTCTATAATTCAGTATTTGATACTAAGTCTTTTAAAAGGAGACCCACATTCTCTATTGCATATTTAAAATTGACTTTGTTGCTTTTTTTTTAATTTTTTTTTAATTTTTATTTATTTATGATAGTCACAGAGAGAGAGAGAGAGAGAGGCAGAGACACAGGCAGATCCCGGGTCTCCAGGATCGCGCCCTGGGCCAAAGGCAGGCGCCAAACCACTGCGCCACCCAGGGATCCCCGACTTTGTTGCTTTTATAGTGACTACACTATTATACTAAAAAACTTTCAAATAAATGCACAATTTGAAATAACAAGAGTAGGGAAGTTAACTTTCATCCCAAAAAGTAAGTATAATAGTTATACTTCGATCCAGAAACTTTCTTAATTATACTATTTAAATTGCATTTAGGAAAAAAACATAATAAATAAATAAATTGCATTTAGGGGGCACCTAGGTGGCTCAGTTGGTTAAGCCTCTGCCTTCAACTTGGGTCATGATGATCCAGGGGTCTTGGGATCTGCTGGCTTCTGGCTCCCTGCTCAGTGGGGAGTCTGCTTCTCCCTCTCCCTCTGCTGCTCCTGCTTGTGCTCTCTCTTTCTGTCAAATAAATAAATAATCTTTTTTTTAGAACGTAAAGTAAGTAATATTTGACCCCCAAATAATTTTTTAGCTTGCGATAAATGCTGACTGGCTTGTTTCCTACCTGTTTCAAATGAAATAATCACCTTATCTATATTGTAAATTTATAAAAATCTTAAATAACTCTCAGTACCTTTTAAAGATAGGATTCTGCTCTTCTGAGTTATGGTGAGAGTTAATGTATGTAAAAGCTTATAATGTGTTTATAAGAATCTGCATTTAAAAGCATTAATAAAAATTTAATAATATGACAACACATGTTCTAGAGGCTATTCCCTTGAAAAAATCAAATCTCAATCATAGGTCAGAATTTTAAGAGATTATGTAATTTTTCACATTAAAAATTTTTAATCTATAATCTCTTTCCTTGATTTGTCTCTCAATCAGAATCACTTTTTAGGGAGAAGTGTATCTTGTGACAAAAGTACTATGTCCTTTAGTTGTATGTTTTGAAAATATGGAGCAAATGTCCTTGACCTTAGCTCTTTCTAAGCAGGCATTTTCTCTTTTAGGAGTGTACGGAGAACTGCATTTATTTTCATGAAAATGACCTGTCCTCACATATATTTAATTGCATTGTGATTTTTAGTTGTGGCATGTATGTGAATGTGAAAGCAGAGCAGAATACCTCATAGCTTTTTGTGGCTCATGTTTTTCATTTGCAGCCTTCAAGCAAAATTAAGATGCCTGAGGAGAATTTCTTCAATGTTCCTGCATTCTTAACTGTTTCAGGACAACTTCACCTAGAAGTGATGTCAGGGTACAGAATTTTCTTTTTTCTTTTGCTTTAATGGACTACTGATTATGGGTTGGGTGAGAGTGAAGTAATGCATTTTTTCTCCAATGCTAAAACCTAAAAATTGAAATTAGTGTTTACTGTTAGTCCATTTGAATTCACTGAAGTATATTTAGATTTGACAATAACCAAGTTTCTTCCTTAAATCACATTTGTTTAGACTTTTGGTTTTAGTGAAAAATGTGACACTGGAAAGAGGTTGTGATTTTTTTTTCTTTTTGCTAATTTTTTTTTTCAATAAATCTCCTAGTATGTAATCAGAATGTAAGTGTAATTAATCATCTTTTTGAAAATAAAGGCAATTATAGTTCACATCCAAACCAGGTATCAGCCCCTTTCATTAAAAAAAAAGGGGGGGGGGGATCCCTGGGTGGCTCAGCGGTTTAGCACCTGCCTTTGGCCCGGGGCATGATGCTGGAGTCTCAGGATCGAGTCCCAGGATTGAGTCCCAGGATCTAGTCCCACATAAGGCTCCCTGCATGGAGCCTGCTTCTCCCTCTGCCTGTGTCTCTGCCTCTCTCTCTCTCTCTCTCTCTCTCTCTCTCTCTCTCTCTCTCTGTGTGTGTGTGTGTGTGTGTGTCTATCATGAATAAATAAATAAAATCTTAAATAAATAAATAAATAATAAAATAAAATAATTTTAAAAAAGGTACCCAGAACAAATGGAAGAAAAATGTTTTAAATCATCGGTTTATAAAGAAAACTAACCTACAAAAGTACCATCAGGAATGACGTGTAACTTTAGAAAGTCTTAGAAGTCAGATTACATGGTCTTGAAAATAACATAAACTTTACTTAGCTTCTTTTCTGATTTATCTTTGAGACAAAGTGTTATTTGATCATTCCAATAACAAGATAATTGACAATGTTATCAGAATACTGTACAGAAAACTTATCATCATAATAGCCCTGTGAGACTGTAGGATTTGCAGAGCAGTGTGTGGAAAAGGTCATGTCAGGCATGTCATGGAAAGTTCCTTACTGCCTTTGAAGGCATAATTTTAAAAAATTAAAATCATGACTCATACAAATATGAAGAAACATGTATCAAATATTTTATTCAATTCATTAATTACTAATGAAACAAGTAAAGTAGTAAGGCTAGTTAAGAGAGTGAAGAGCTGTGTATTCACAGGCAATCTAATAAAGGAATTTTAGAATAAGATGCTAGGTTAGTTACAAACTGGTTAATGTCCTACAGACCAATAAGCCTTAACATTTGGCATTTTCTTTTCTACCTGACAGAAATGATTTGCAACTCTACAAGACAGAAATCTACAAGTTAACATGTAACTTTACTTAATCTGGGATATTTAATTCAATTGTAAATAGAATCATGCAACAAAGTACATCCTTTTTTTTTTTTCAGGTTTTATTTATTTGAGATGGAGAAATCATGAGTAGGGGGAGGGGCCCAGGGAGAAGCAGACTCCCCACGAGCAGAGAGCCCATAGCCTCCATCCCAGGACCCTGAGATCAGGACTAGAACAAAGGCAGACACTTAACTGACTGAGCCACCCAGATGCCCCTAGAGCAATGTACATTCTGATAAGTAATTAAATAACCTTTGAATGAGTCTGTGTCCTCAGATTCCATTGAAAGGGCATACTGATCTTTTGGCCTTATAAGGATATATCCAAGTTTTAGATAACCTTTCTTAAATTTTTGGTATTCATTTTTTTAGTCTATGAAGTTAGAGGCAAAGTACCTTCCCCTCAGAAGTGTCATAAATATGTGAAAGGTGTAAATTTACGAGGTTTGCCATTATACTACTAGTAGTGGATTAAATATATTCCTTCTTTACCAGTAAAGTTCAGTGAACCACGGAACACAGTGTACAGTAAAACTTGACAGATTAAATTGGCAGAATTTCAGGTTCTGTATTTTTTAATGTGTTTTGAAGTATTTCTATTAATGTCAGTCAAATGTATCTAATTGAATATGCATAGTTCTAGGACTATTAATATGCAGTACCTCATGTTTCAGGTTAATGCCTAATTTAATCTCCAGTAAGAAATTGTTAGTCTTTCCTCAGCCTTTTCTTTAATTTTATTTAACATACTTTCAAAATGGAGTAAATGATAGTTAAATTAGAAGTTTAACATTTTCCAAAAGGATATCTATGTTGGTTTAGTGGTTTCATAGCTCCATTTTTAAGTTCAATTTTGTAGTTATTGTTGTTTTTAATAAACTTTCTATTTTTGAGTAATTTTTAAATATATAAAAGTTGCAAAGACAGTCCAGACTTTTTGTATACACCTTTTGCCCAGTTTCCCCCATTATAAATATCATATATTGCTATGGTACATTTTGTCAAAACTAAGAACCTGTTGTTAGTACATTACTATTAACTACATTCCAGACTTTATTTGGATTTCACTTTTCCATTATACCTTCTTTCTTCTCCCAGGATCCAGTTCAGGGTACCACATTACATTTAGGTGTCATATTTCCCCAATCTCTTCTAATCTGTAACAATTTCTCAGTCTTTCCTTGTTTTTCATGACTTATAGAATGTATCCCAATCTGGATTTGGCCGATGTTTTTTCTCATGTTTCAACTGGAATCATATGGGGTTTTGGAAGGAATACCATAGAGGTGAAGTGCTCTTACCATCATCAGGGAGTTTGTGATATCCATATGGTGACATTAACCTTTATGACTTGAATTAGACAGTGTTTGCTGGTTTTCTCCACTGAAAATGTACTATTTTTCCCCTTTCTTTGTCCTTTGGAAGTCAGTTATTAGATCTAGCCCACCCTCATTGGAGGTGGGAGTGAGAGGTTGGGAAGTAGGAGATAGAATTAAGCATCACCTCCTGAATGTAATGTAGTTAGAATCATATTAGTATGTAACCTTTTCAGATTGGTTTCTTTAGTTTAGCATAATATACATTTAAGGTTCCTCCACAACTTTTCATGGCTTGGTAGCTCGTTTCTGAATATTCCATTATCTGGATGTGCCACAGTTTATCCATTCACCTACTGAGGAACACCTTGGTTTGCTTCCAAGTTTTGGCAGTTTATCCTAGGCTTTTCATTTTCCCTACTGTGGCCCTTCAAGCAACCATTTCTCCAGACAGATGTGGTTCCTTTTATTGGAAAATGTTATTTAGAAACCAAGATTTAGTCATTGAGTATCTTGCTGCTCTTGGGGGATTATTGCTTCTAAAACCTCTGGGCAGACAGAGCTATAAATAATTTTTTTAAGATTTTTTATTTATTAGAGACATACAGAGAGAGAGAGAGAGGGGGAGAGAGGGGGGGGGGCAGAGGGAGAAGCAGGCTCCCTGCTGGGAGCCTGATGTGGGACTCAATCCTGGGTCTCCAGGACCACACCCTGGGCTGAAGGCGGTGCTAAACCGCTAAGCCACTGGGGCTGCCCAATACATTTTTTAAACAAGAGAAAGCAAAGTGTTTTCATTATATTTTGCCTATAAATACAATTTGTAAGTGATGTATTCTGAGAGAATTGAAGTATACTAAGTTACAAAACCTATATTCAAAAAAGTCACATAATAAAATTCTCCATTTCTTGTCAGAACCAGAATTGGAGGAAGGTTCAGCCTAATGTATTTGAAAGAGTGTTTAATTATTATTGTTTCTGTTGTTGTTGTTGTTGGTTTTGCTTTGCTTTGCTTTTGGTGTTTTTTGTTAACAGGTGTTTTTTCCTTATTATTATTTTTTTAAATAAGCTATGAAAGCAAGCATATTTCACAATAAAACATGCTTTCATCTTGAACATTGCTGTTGGAAATATAAATTGGTACAGCTTTTCTAGAGAAATACCTTTTACCAAGAATTTCATTTCTAGGAATTTTTATTGAGGGAATGATCTTACAACTCTGTAAAAGTGTATAAACAATAATGTTGCAAGCAACTTTGCTTATACTAGGGAATAAATACTAACGATCTAAATGTCCATTTAGGAAGATAGATTAACCATCAATGTACCAAGAAAACAGTCATCATCATTTACCATCTAGGTATAATGGACCTTATTTTTAATAAATATTTTTAAGCAATCTTAAGAATAATTTGCAGAGGTAAAAATAAGGGGTTAGTGAAAATCAACATTTTTAGAATTTTAATAAGAACATAAACATGCAAACCCACATTTTTGAAAGCTGCTTTATTGGGAGAGAATTTATTTACCATAAAATTCACCAATTTAAAGAATACAATTCAGTGGATTCCAGTATATTTCACAGTTCAAATATCACCATAATCTAATTTTTTTTTTTACCATAATCTAATTTAAGCATATTTCTATCAGGGGTACCTGGGTGGCTCAGTTGGTTAAGCATCTGCCTTCTGCTCAGGGTCTTGGGATCAAGTCCCATGTTGGGCTCCCTGCTCAGCGAGGAGTCTGCTTCTCCCTCTGCTCTTTCCCCCAATGATTCCCAACCAATGATTAAATTACTTATTTTTGTCATTTTTACATTTTCTTCCAGACACTTTTGTATACATACTTGCCTTCAGCCTTTGTTCACTTTTAACCTATCAAATAACTTCTGGTGCAAAATGTAGATGATAAAAGAATATTGTCACATATCCTTTCAGCAGACTGGTATGATCCAAGTTCTTATTGCATGTTATTGCATGATAAAGTCCTAACTGTAGAATAACTAATTGAATAAAAAATATATTTCCTTTTTGCCCTTAGAAATATATTATTCACTTATTAGTTCTTGGGTTTGAGAAAATTCACTTAGGGTATCATTATCTGTACGTTCACAGTCTGAGATTTCACATATATAACCAATTTCACCATTATTGGAGGCTAGATTGTTACTATCTGTCTCTTTGCATTCATTTCCTGACTTGGCTAATATTTATGAAGCATCTTTATCATTTTTCTTCTCTTTGTCATTGTGAGTGAAAAATAAAAGATCTCAATTCTCAACTGTGTTCTTTGATAACTACAAAAAGATAACATTTGTATCTCCAGGCTTTTCTTAGACC